TCGCTTACGTTTAGAGGAATAAGTTTCTTCAATATCTTCATTCAAAAATCGATGTCATATAATAATAATACAAGTAGTAGAAGTTATATTTCTTTACGACTAATTTTTGTTTACATAATATAGACATACCTGTAGCATTGATCGAACTTTCGTTATCTTCATCCTCAACATCATTATTCTCTTCGTCCTCTTCTACATTCTCTACGTCTTGATCATCACCATCATCATCATAATCTTCATCCAATACAGAATTAATATCATCTTTTTGTGACCTATCATCTTTTTGATCATCAGAATCGACTTCTCTTCCATCAATATCACGATGTTTAAGTTCTCCTAAAAAGAATGTTGACAATGGCAACCCATTATGCTGAATTAAAGCCTTAACTTGGAAAATTACGATTTCCAATGATTTTTTTACAAGTGGTACCATCGATGACAGCTGAGATTCTTTATTAACTTTTACGTGATTGCAAAGTGCCTAGATATTACCATATATGGAAAGAAATATGGTTAATCAATAACAAAAATGCTGCGAATTCTAATAACTAAAAGAAACTTACCTGAAGATTCCGAGTGGACATTTGAAATGTTTTAAATATATTTAAAACCTCGTCACGATATGAGTTAAAATGTTCATCCATCAATGGAAACATTTTCTTAAGAAAAGTATCAATGAAACTACGGCCAAATTTTAATGTTACAGATAAAACATTGCGCTTATGATTAATTCTTATAAATGAAACCAGCTTTTGCAGACATTCAACCGTATCAGAAATGTGTGCCAAAGTTTCATCTGTGGTATTAAAATTCCCTGATCCGAATTCTTGAAGTACTTCAACAAGTTCTATAAATAATGCTTTATAAAAATGCGGAAACGTATTCCTATTAAGCAATGGATATGACTCCGCAATGTTATCGTCCTGTGAATCAAGGGAAGGGAGGACATCAATTGCATAAAACTTTATTCTATCTATAGGATTGGACGAATGTCTAATATCATTTCGCACTAGATATATAATGGAATCAGAGTCCAATTTAGAAATATCGTCCCATGAACGTGATGCAAAATTTCGTGCTACTTCCCCGGATTTTGCAAAAAGTTCACTCGAATTCGGTGCAAATTCAGCAATTAATTTAAGAATCTTGTGTAGCAATATAGCTAAATTTGCTGTTGGTAGTCTCGACACAAAGTCATGCAAATATTGAAACGCATCATTAGAAGATTGTTGAATAATTTCAGATTGGACTGATGTAAGTTTTGGAACTGAAGACGAGACCTTTGGGCATAATTGTTTTAATAAAGTAATCAATATTTCTTTATTATCTAAACTTTTCAATTCAGCCCAACAAAGTAACCGATGAATAATCTCAAGTATTAATTGTAGGCAACGTTTTAATTCATCATATACATCATCTTCAATTACTTCATCGTCTGTAGAATTAAGTTCTTCACATATTGAATCTAATTGTCGCAATAAATGCGGAATATAATTAAGAGAAACTTGCTTAACAATATCTATAGACGCTTGGCGAGCAATTAAGGCAAACTCGTCGGAATTGTTTCCAAGTTCCGCTTTTTTCGTCTTCCTCGCAAAAAAAGGAACATTAGATACTGGTGGCGAGAGCTTAAAATCAAGTTTGCGCTTAAGATCTTCAAGGAGGTAAACCATCTCTATAGGACGCAATTTAGCTTCATTTGTGTCATCAGACATTTTAGCACTTTCGCTATCATTTGTAGGTTTTTTAATATTTCCATATTCAAGCATACCAAACACTGGCAAAGCCAGCTCACGCATTAATGGCCTTAAATCAGAAACAGATGCAAATTTAGGAGTACAATTACTGGTATCCTTGCTTTGCTCCTCATCTTTCTCTATTTCAAATTTACGTGCACTTATAATTTTGCTTTTACTGATTCCAGAACGTCGAATTGTTGCTCCAGTCCTGATAAGATTCCTTGGCATTGATCCAACTAAAACCGACACAGAAGTTGACTTTACATTTTTGGTTGGAGCAGAAGTTGTAAATCCAAAGGGTTGAAAAGAAGGCGTTATTTCCAATAGGCCGTCTAAAAGCTTTTCAAGTTCTATAACATGTCGTAATTTCGTAATTACATTGTCTGATAAAATGACATTATGTTAAATTAAATTCTAATACTTTGACTATTAAAGATGGCCCAACACCTACTATGATTATCCACATCTGTGCCCCAGAAGTCGTTAACAAGTTCTCGACACCTAACATTCATAACAAAAGTCAATTAAAAATGCACCACGAAGTTTAATATCTAACGATATAATGATTATTCACCAATTAATAGAATAAAATAATGCATCGCATGCTGTCTCACGCATTAATTTAGAGTAATCGTCCGATTTCATACGCTATTAAATAAAGACATTAGTAATATATTGATGTAAAATTAGATTATTCAAATAATGTATAATTTCACACCTCGATGTCAACTTTTTCGTACATGAGCAATCCGGTGCTTAACAAAGCACCGATTTCTGTTAAGCTTCCCTCTTTTACTTTCAAGCAAGCCTGCATTAATCTCAACATCGAGCAACAACATATTACATGGTCCCGTTTGAACAAATGTTGCATGCGTAATTCTTGTGAAATATGAGGTTCACACAGCATAGGATAAACGTTAAACTTTGGTGAGTCATCAGTCTAATTTATAGAATAAGTATTTCATTAAAATTATTCTATAGCTTTTACAATTCTGTAGATTAATTCATCCTTACATCGCTTTCTGTTTCCAACCAAATTTCTATTGGCATTCCTTTCAAATAGTAGTGATCCTCTCTTAATTTGGCTAAGTCATCGCTGTCTACAACATAAGTATCTGAAAACATGTTCTCAACCTTATCATAGATCCAGTTTACCAAACTACGCTCTAAAATTCCATTAGATATGAACCATGCGAGTTCATCATACGCAAATGCTAGACATGTCTATGAAAATTTTTAAAAATAATCTGAAATTAATAAAAGAATAATAAAAATTTTTACACATCATCATAGATTTACCATTGATCGCGCACAATAACGCTCAATCTTTGAGAAGCTTTCTATTGCAGTATTTATCATTTCTATAAATGGAATAAAAATATTATATGATGATAGGGCTAATACAACAAATAAGGGTAATAAATACTTATACATACTTTCACGGTTAGGATTTTCTGTATTTTGCGCAGAACCTAGTGTTTGCACTAAAGCAAGAGCGCCTATAACGCCTATTTGTTTATACTTCTCATTGGGATTAGACAACTGCTTCTGAATAACAATTGAAAACTCAGCGAGCAAACCACCATTTGAACCATCATAGTTTGCATCCTTATAAATTGGATTAACAAATTTTATTAGATTAAATTATAGTATTAAAATATATTAGATATCATTGTCACAAATCTCACCTCATAAACTAATTTACTAATTACTTCAAACAAAATTCGAATTTGATCTATATTAAGATTATCCAAATAATCTAAAAGTCCTTTTACAAAAATTGCAAACCGACTCATCTTTTTTATATCTATCTTAACTAAATGGGACAACACTGAGAGTGCAGCCTCGATTTCAATAGGCGAACCACATCCAATATGCGTCACCAACGACGCTACTATTTCTTGCTGTTGGTATGGTTCGAATACTATGAACGCACTACGATATAATGTACAAGCAGCACGTGACACAGTGGTCTGCTGTTGACTCGATCTAAGAAGACACTCTGACAATAAGAGGATGTCACTAAAATATTCTCGTAAACCTTCATAGTGATATGTAATTGTCTTTTCTAAAAGTTCTGAAGTAAATAATCCACTCATAATCTTTTTGTGAAAGATTGTTTCGACTTTCTTCTTTGTGCTTGGAATAGAGTGCAAAATCAATAAAATCAATATATCAATTATTTTATGATCGTTCTGTTAGTGTAAAAGAAATAAATATTAGGAATATATAGATACTATAAAACTATCATATGGGTCTTTGCCTTGAAAATCAAGTTTGGATCATATGATTTACTATGCCCCGTAAGGTCATTTTCAAGGCAAAGACCCCATATTGTCGAATATGAAATGTAATACCGTTCTATTAACATCATTGATTGCTTTTAACCATGCATCTTTAACAAATTTATGAATATCGATACCCAATTTAATCGAGTCTAGTATCAAAGCTTCCGGTATTTGCTCTTTTTTCCTTTTTTGATGTTTTTTCGAATTCAGTGCTTCACTTTGTAACTCACTTATTGAATGGAAATCGACTTTATCCCTAATCTGCTGTACTACCTATAAAATAACCAATATTATAAAAAAATCCAAAGTAAACTATCATAAAGATATGGCACATTAAATATAAAAAAATTACATTGTACGCATCATCTGGAGAGGATGTTTGCAATAAAAACTTTACTACAACTGCCAAATCGTCCAAATCAGCGGATTCAAGTCGATCGAAAACTGTTTTTTGAACGTTACACATCAAATCTTCTTGAAGTGTGAAATGAGGAAGTGCGTCAAGAATGGGAACAATTAATCGGTAGTCATTATCAATCAACTTTATCAACTCATTAATGACAGTCTAATACGTAAAATTACGTTTTATACAAAGTTAAATTAATTATACACAAATTCAAGAAAAATCATTAGATTATAACCTTTTGTTCAGAATCAATTATAATATCAGGAAGGCTTGTTATTATTTCTTTTTGGATGCCTAATGGTGTAATTGGGATCATCTTTATATAAATATGAAAAACTTTCGTCAAAAAACTGTTTATATATAGTACATTCTAATGTTTGAAGATTGATGATGCATTCTTAAATAATACATGCCTCTAATATTTTTTCTGTTAATTGTGTAGGATTTACGATGTTATCTAACCACTTTAATTGCTTTAAAATCAATTGTGGGATGGGTGATTCTATAATATCGTGATCAGATTCTGAAATGAACGTTGGTAATCTTTCTAACAACTGATCGATTAGGTTTGATTGGAGAAAATCGATGCTCAATAAAATTCGAATTAAACTATCTGATGTAGAATCACTTTGTGAAATATTGAAGAAATGATTATTTTGCTCTATATTGTCATTGTAATAATATCAAAAAATTCAAGTAAATTACTATATTGATTTTCCATTTACAGAGGGCGGTTGTAGACATGCTTTAAATTTTCCATCGTCCATAGCCAAATACTCTTGCAACGCATTAAGAAACGTATCAATTACTTTATCTGGATATTGTGGATGATTCTTGATTTTTTGAATAAAATTGAAGCGAAATATTGATGGTTCAACCGCTTAAAGACAAAAAAATAGTGATTTAGTTATAGAAATCAAAAGTATCGATGTATATAAGTTTGACTTAAATAATATCTATCATTATTTACCTAATTCGTGCACACCCTCAACATGGCCTTCTAACTTTAACCCTGCCTCCGATACAAGAGTATGGAATAAAGACTTATTTTTCTTTTGAGCTGGTGCCATACTTTACTCTGTTACGAAAATTTTTTTACACGAATGTGAAAATCGGATCAGATGAATCTTAATCCGCGTCTTTTATTTACACCTGAATATTCCTAATTTGGAGGTCGTGTCTAATCATGTGATATTATAACTTTAAACTTCATCAAATACTTCATTGCAGATTATGTTACGTACGGCAATTGCGGTCAAATCATTCAAATTGTCGTTATACTGGATTCACAAAATGTACAGTCACATATGGGTGAAAATATCCAGTTGAAACACAGTGATAAGTGATAGCAAGGTGATCAAAGTTACAATTAGGTACATATATACAAAAAATCTATAAATAATCAGGTTACGATCAGATACATACGTACAGAAATTTATAAGTAATCAGGTTACAATTAGGTACAAATTTTACCTATTAATTTTATATGTAAATTTATTGGTTAAATGTAATATCTGAAAAGTTTAATAATAATGATTTTTTTTTCTTCTGACAGTTACGTCATAAACTTTATTAAGTTGTTAACTGCGGCTCTAGCCAAGTTACATATGATTATACAATCTATTTAACTTTCTAAGTTTGACATCACCTAGCTGCTACTAGAGTACTCAGATGTGATTTGGTTGTACTAGCCTAATGGCTAGAAAAAATAATGATTTAATTAAAAGATCTATAAGTTTTAGCATATATATATTTTTTTTTATAAATTGAATGATTTTGTTTGTTACTTTATTAAGGAATATTTAAATAAAAGTAATAAATTAATCTAATATATAAGTATACTAATTTAATTTTTTATTATAATTGTTTTAGACTAACTTAGCTATTTTAAGAGTATCTAAGTTTGATCTACTGCAAAAGTTTTTTTTTTTTTTTAATTCAGTAGTTATGTCAAGACTTTATTTAGATTTGTTTTCTATTTGAAAACAATATTATTTAGCTATATACTATCTAATGTCTAATTTTTTA